CCCCATATCACTTAAATAGCTTTGATGTAGGTTGTACTAACTATAGGGGAAAATGTTCGATGTATTCGATGACGTGATTGTTTCCATATTCTTTTAGAACAAACCCTATAGGTATCATTTGTTGACGTGCTTGTTAAATTGTACATAACTTGTACACTCGAACACATATAAAAGAAGCCGAATTTGTTTATTCAACTGGAACGTTTATTTTGACATGGTCACATAAACAGAATAGCTGCGGATGTTCGGATACTCTACCAATGTTGCTATTCACGAGTTATAATGATTAATGATGTTTTATATTCTATAAGAAAAGGAGACATTCCAAGTAGAAAAATCTCTCTTAAACAGAACTCTTCTCTTGTTTTATTACTTGAGCATTGGTAAGTTTTACCTTAAAAGCAGCGAGAAAAAAATCCTACTTTGTTCCTGTCTGAAATTAAACTCAACGGTAGATATTTATGGAGCTATTACATCTGAAAAGCAGATAGGTCTTTATTAAAACAATTTTTTTAAAGGCAGAAATCTTCTGGATGTTTGTTTTTCGTTTTCATTGTATACTTAGTGCACACAACAGCCGCCAAGAAAGCCAGTCGTCCATCTAACTTGTAACATTTGATCGCCCAGTAAGTAACATGCTTGACTACCATACCCTATGGCAAGCCAACTTAATATTTATTCAATGAATAATGTCGATCCCGAATTTTATAAAACTATATAAGATATCTTATAAAGTATATGAGATATCTTATATATTATCTGAAATATCTTATAAAGTATATAGGATGTCTTATACATTATATGCGATATCTGATATAGTATATGCGATATCTTATAAAGTATACGGGATATCTGATATAGTATATGCGATATCTTATAAAGTATATGGGATGTCTTATAAAGTATATGCGATATCTGATATAGTATATGGGATGTCTTATATAGTATATTCGATATCTTATATAGTATATGAGATATCTTATAAAGTATATGTGATATCTTATAAAGCATATGAGATATCTGATAAAGTATATGGTATATCTGAAATAGTATCTGAGATATCTTATAAAGTAAATGAGATGTCTGATATAGTATATGGGATATCTTATAAAGTATATGTGATGTCTTATATAGTATCTGAGATTTCTTATAAAGTATATGTGATATATGATATAGTATATGCGATATCTTATAAAGTATATGCGATATCTTATACAGTATCTGAGATGTCTGATATTGTATATGGGATATCTTATAAAGTATATGCGGTATCTTATAAAGTATATGCGATATCTGATATAGTATATGCGATATATTATAAAGTATATGCGATATCTTATATAGTATATGCGATATATTATAAAGTATATGCGATATCTTATATAGTATATGGGATATCTTATATAGTATATGTGATATCTGATATATTATATGGGATATCTTATAAAGTATATGTGATATCTGATATAGTATATGGGATATTTTATAAAGTATATGTGATGTCTTTTATAGTATATGCGATATCTGATATAGTATATGCGATATCTTATAAAGTATACGGGATATCTTATAAAGTATATGCGATATATGATATAGTATATGGGATGTCTTATACAGTATATGGGATGTCTTATAAAGTATATGCAATATCTTAGAAAGTATATGAGATATCTTATAAATATAAGGGATGTCTTATAAAGTATATGCGATATCTTATATAGTATCTGAGATATCTTATAAAGTATATGGGATATCTGATATAGTATATGTGATATCTTATAAAGTATATGCGATATCTGATATAGTATATGGGATGTCTTATACAGTATATGGGATGTCTTATTCAGTATATTGGATGTCTTATATTGTATATGTGATATCTGATATAGTATATGGGATATCTATATATATAGTATATATTTTCTTTCTTTACTCTTACAAGAGTGTTGGAACTCGATGAATTTAGAACACGGATGAGTGTACACAGACAAAAAACTATAACCGAATCTTCACGAAATATACATGTCAATTATTATGAATTATTCATATCAATTATTCATATCAATTATTTTTATCTGAAACCATTCTGTATATGCTCGCGGCTTCGCGTGTTATAGCGTGAGCTCGTGACAGCATATCTTCAGACGTATAAAAACAGGGAATACGGTACTTTTTATTTTTATTTTGCAAAGTCACACATAGCTATCTCTAAGCAGTTGACTCCAACATGTAGAGCACCAGACAATTCGAGCCAGCTTCTAGTATCGTCTGCTACCCGTTATACACGTTCCAAGGCCACGCATGTTATCTGAAAAAGCCATGTCTGGTAGTAAGGTTGACTCATGTTATATCGGTGATTCAAGGGCACATAAATACTACACATACAGTGTAATAATCATTCCGATTACGTCCCTTGAGATGGGCTCCGAGATTATGGCGACAGGACCATGCGTTGACAACAAACCTAGCTACTGTTTTTTCTAGTACTAGATCCTCGAGAGAACCCGGATGGGGAGACTTGGTTTTTGACATTTTGTTAATAGCTCGTTCCTAAATAAGATGTCCTATATAGTGACGAGGCCTCACATTATATAAGACACATCTTATACAGAAAATTAAAAGAGGTATCTTATATAGAATATGAGATATCTCATATAGCATCTCATTTAATTTCTATATAAGAGATCTTATATATTATATAAGGTATCTCATATATTATATAAGGTATCTCATATATTATATAAGATATCTCATATACTGTATAAGATATCTCATATACTGTATAAGATATCTCATATACTTTATAAGACATCCCATATACTGTATAAGACATCCCATATACTATATCAGATATCACATACACTTTATAAGATATCTCATATACTTTATAAGATATCGCATATACTATATCAGATATCGCATATACTTTATAAGACATCCCATATACTTTATAAGATATCGCATATACTATATCAGATATCCCATATACTTTATAAGACATCCCACATACTTTATAATATATCGCATATACTTTATAAGATATCGCATATACTTTATAAGATATCGCATATATTATATAAGGTATATCATATACTTTGATACATATCTCATATATTATATAAGATATCTTGCATAGTTTTATGAAATTCGGGATCGACATTGTTCATTGAATAAATGTGAAGTTGGCTTGCCATAGGGGTTGGTAGTTAAGCATGTTACTTACTGGGCGATCAAATGTGACAAGTTAGATGGACGACTGGCTATCTTGGCGGCTGATGAGTGCACTATGTTTTCTGTTAAAAACTAAAAATAAACATCCAGAAGATTTCTGCCATTTTAAAAATCTAGTTTTGATAAAAACCTGTCTGTTTTTAAGACGTCATAGCTCCATGTTATTTTGTGTAATTGTTATCATTTCGTCATTATGTACAATGGTCACTTTGTTGTTGTATGTACTTGTGGCCGTTTTGTTTGTTGTGAAGCAATCTGATTAAAATCATGTCCTTCGTTCTCTACGTAGAGAACATAGGATATGATTTTAATCAGATTGGTTGTGTAGAATTGTGTTCATTTTGTTATGTGTATTATTGGCCACTTTGTTGTTGTCGGTAATGTTGGTTACTTTGTTGCTGTCTGTAATGTTGGCCACTTTGTTGTTGACTATAATGTTGGCCACTTTGTTGATGTCTGTAATGCTGGCCAGTTTGTCGTTGTCTGTAATATTGGCCACTTTGTTGTTGTCTGTAATGTTGACCACTTCGTCACTTTGTCGTTGTCTGTAATGTTGGCCACTTTGTCGCTCTCTGTAATGTTGGCCACTTTGTTGTTGTCTGTAATGTTGGCCACTTTGCCGCTGTCTGTAATGTTGGCCACTTTGCCGCTGTCTGTAATGTTGGCCACTTTGCCGCTGTCTGTAATGTTGGCCACTTTGTTGCTGTCTGTAATGTTGGCCACTTTGTCGCTGTCTGTAATGTTGGCCACTTTGTTGATGTCTGTAATGTTGGCTACTTAGTCACTTTGTCGTTGTCTGTAATGTTGGCCACTTAGTCACTTTGTCCCTGTCTGTAATATAGGCCACTTTGTCGCTGTCTGTAATATTGGCCACTTTGTTGTTGTCTGTAATGTTGGCCACTTAGTCACTTTGTCGCTGTCTGTAATGTTGGCCAATTAGTCACTTTGTCGCTGTCTGTAATGTTGGCCACTTTGTCGTTGTCTGTAATGTTGGCCACTTAGTCACTTTGTCGTTGTCTGTAATTTTGGCCACTTAGTCACTTTGTCGCTGTCTGTAATGTTGGCCACTTTGTTGTTGTCTGTAATGTTGGCCACTTAGTCACTTTGTCGTTGTCTGTAATGTTGGCCACTTAGTCACTTTGTCGCTGTCTGTAATGTTGGCCACTTTGTCGCTCTCTGTAATGTTGGCCACTTTGTTGTTGTCTGTAATGTTGGTCACTTAGTCACTTTGTCGCTGTCTGTTATGTTGGCCACTTTGTTGTTGTCTGTAATGTTGGCCACTTAGTCACTTTGTCGCTGTCTGTAATGTAGGCCACTTTGTCGCTGTCTATAATGTTGGCCACTTTGTCGCTGTCTGTAATGTTGGCCACTTTGTTGTTGACTGTAATGTTGGCCACTTAGTTGATGTCTGTAATGCTGGCCAGTTTGTCGTTGTCTGTAATATTGGCCACTTTGTTGTTGTCTGTAATGTTGACCACTTCGTCACTTTNTATGTTGGCCACTTTGTTGTTGTACTCATGGCCACTTAGTAACTTTTTTGTTGTCTGTTATTTTGGCTACTTTGTTGTTGTCTGCAATGTTGGCCACTTTGTTTTGTTTGTACTCGTGAATTCCTTGAATCTTAAAACGATATTGAAGTTAAGAATTATTACACTGTCATTTCATGCGTCCTTGGCCCAAACGACACAAGCTGATCCGGCCTTGATCATTCCTCTGCGCCATACCTATCACACACGTAGAAAAAAATCAATATACAACAACGGTCTATATAGTGCAAACACTAACACGTGAACCATGGGTAATGGACAAGGTCATGTGTCCCGGAACACCGTCGTAACCTAAGGATAGGTTATGCTAGACAGAAATAAGGTATAACGTAATATTTGCTGTAACCCGGGTCCTGACCGACTCCTGAAAGGCGGCAGGTGTTGATAGGTACCGTACGTGCGTCCAGGTGAGTACTATACATTTTACAAAATTTTATTACGAGTGCCATACTGAGGAATGACAGAATATATAAAGCGTTGGGATGGAGATATACTGTATGTTTACATAGTATGCGTGTATGTACAACCTTCACTTGTATGTATACTTATCTACAACACCTACAATTGTGTACATACTTAAGGTTGTATTTATACATATCTACAATTATATCAATACAATTTTTTGTACTTTTACAACCCAAAACGTGTATGTAATACCTACATTTGTATTTCCGTCATACCTATATTTGGAAACTCTCTACATGGATACATAGATTTATTCTGAAAAAAATAAGGAATTTACAATCCTTTGACAGTCAGCTCTGAAATAAAAAAAAAAAAAAAAAAAAAAAAAAAAAAAACAATTAAATAAAAAAATATTTCAAAATTTGCGACGTTTAGATTTCGATTTTTCTTTAAAACTGTATTTCTGCGTTTGGTTTTGCCAGTGTTCATCTAATTTATATTCAATTTGATTCCCTGTGCTTGAATTCACAACAGTTGAGGTAGATTGTTCCATAAACAGTTCTCTGTTTAATCTATTAAGACATTGATAATCTATATTCATTATTTTACTACAATAAATTATATGAAACACTGATACTTCAATTTAAATAATATTGCAAGTAAAACACCATTAACCTATGGCAGAGCTTGGCTGTTGGTTGTTGCTGACAAATATCCGTCACTTATATATATATATATATCCGGGTTGTAATACACAATAGGCAGGTGTATTCTTACAAAATTGTATATATATATATATATATNAATAGAAAAGGATTTTATATGTATATATCATCAAAATATACAGCAAATTATTTGTATAAAGCTTTCTTTAAACGAGAGAACATGAAAAATGACCTCGTGCGTGTGTGAACACTTGTAACACACGTTTGCTTTTTTCGTCCTGTACACATACGTGTCACTGTACATGTGAGGACTTGTAATTGAATGACCTTGGAGGTTGTCCATCGTACATGCTGCTGTATTTATATATTGTATCAGATGAGCTAATTTCCCGGTAGGTGTTTGTGATATGATGTAGATCTAGGCTACTTTATTTAAAAATTACTGCTACAATACACTATTATTCTTTAAGTATCTACCTCGATAATAACGTGACCGTTCATTATACATTGCATTATCCAGCTGTTGCATCGACTTAGGATCCCAGCCCCACTATAAAACAAACCACAGTAATCTCCCCTTATTTTCGTTTCTATAATACATGTAGTACCGGTGACAAGGTCCTCAGTTATAGTAAAATAGTCGGAGTTTTAGGGTTCGAAGTCCAGACAAACATTTTTGTGGCTCATGTCAAAATGCAGCTGCTATATAGCGATGATAGGTTACGTTCGGTAAGGTACTGTTTTTGATCCTTTGATGACCATCTTTCTTATTTTCGGATGTACGACCAAATCAAATATTCTTGAGAAGCTTTAGTAAAATCCACGAGGAAATGTAGATGCCGGGGTGACGAAAACAAATCTGGTGAATTAGTCATGTGTGACTATGACCTTGAACACGTACGGTATGCTGGTGTATGTCCGAGCAATTGGCGCGATGCTTCCTGTTCCTAAAATGGGGGTCACCTTTTTTCACGGGACGAAAAATGGCCATAAATGCTAACTGAAGAAAAGTTCAATGCTTAATTACCCCCGAAGAAGAGCGTGTGCTACAGTAACACTTACTCTGGTAGACAGAAGTGTCACATAACGCATTCATTGTCTTTGTTAGGGTAGCACGATTCTTTTGTTTTCCCGCGATTAATCTTGTTTCATTCGAAACTCACCTTCGTAGGGTTCACTCTCGATAAACATTTACATATATCTTTTCAACACTTATAAAGAAAATATTTGTATCCAAAGCAAAACTCTCTAAATTTGAAGATGCCAGAAATCATGGTGCGGCGTCCGTCGTCCGTCCGTCCGTCGTCCGGCGTCAATATTTTACTTTAAACAACTTCTTCTGAATGACTAAGAGACCTAGGATAATGCTATTTGGCCAGTAACATGCTAGGCTGAAGGGCTACCAAGTTTGTTCAAATGAACGACATTGACTTATATTCAAGGTCCCAGGGGTCAAATATATTAAAAACCTTTAAACAACCTCTTCTGAGCAACCAAGAAGCCTAGGATAATGATATTTGGCCAGTAACATGCCCGGATAATCGGCTACCATGTTTGTTCAAACGAATGACATTGAAATATATTCAAAGTTACAGTGGTCAAATATGTTTGAAACCATTAAGCAACTTTTTCTGAATAACCAAGAGGCCTAGGATAATGATATTTGGTCAGTAATTTGCTGGGATCAAGGGCTACTAAGTTTGTTCAAATGAATGACCTTGACCAATATTCAAGGTCACATGGGGTTAAATATGTTTAAAACCCTTAAACAACTTCTTCTGAATAACTTATAGGCCTGGGGTTATGATATTTGGCCAGTAGCATGCTTGAATAAAAGGCTACCAAGTTTGTTCAAATGAATGACCTTCATACATATCAAGATCACAGGGGTCAATTATCTTAAAAAAATTAAACAACCTCTTCTCATTAACCGAAAACCCTACGATGATGATATTTCACCAGGATCAACAAGGATCAAATATGTTCAAAATCTTAAAACAACTTCTTCTGAATAACCAAAAGTCGCAGGATGATGATATTTGGCCTGTAACATGATTGGATGAAGGGCTACCAAGTTTGTTCAAGTAAATGACCTTGATTTTATTCAAGGTCACAGGGGTCAAATTTGTTTAAATTCTTTAAACAACTTCTTCTCAATAACATTAAACCCTTGGATGATGCTATTTTGCCAGTAGCATGCTGTGCTGAAGGGCTACCAAGTTTGTTCAAATGAATGACCTTGACATGTATTCAAGGTCACAGAGGTCATATATGTTTAAAATCTTTAAACAACTTCTTCAGAATGACTAAGAGACCTAGGATAATGATATTTGGCCGGTAACATGCTAGGCTGAAGGGCTACCAAGTTTGTTCAAATGAACGACATTGACCTATATTTAAGGTCACAGGGGTCATATATGTTTAAAATCTTTAAACAACTTCTTCTAAATAACTAAGAGACCTAGGATAATGATATTTTGCCAGTTACATGCTAGGCTGAAAGGCTACCAAGTTTGTTCAAATGAATGACCTTTATTGATATTCAAGGTCACAAAGGTCAAATATGTTAAAAACCTTTAAACAACTTTTTATCAATAACCGAAAACCCTAGGATGATGCTATTCGGCAAGAATCATGCTGTGATGAAGGGCTACCATGTTTGTTCAAATGAACGACATTGATTTATATTCAAGATCACAGGGGTCAAATATGTTTGAAACCATTAAGCAACTTTTTCTGAATAACCAAGAGACCTAGGATAATGATATTTGGTCAGTAATTTGCTGGGATCAAGGGCTACTAAGTTTGTTCAAATGAATGACCTTGACACATATTCAAGGTCACATGGGGTTAAATATGTTAAAAAAAACCTTAAACAACTTCTTCTGAATAACTTATAGGCCTGGGGTTATGATATTTGATCAGTAGCATGCTGGGATAAAAGGCCACCAAGTTTGTTCAAATGAATGACCTTCATCCATATCAAGGTCACAGGGGTCAATTATATTAAAAAATCGTTAAACAATTCTTCTCATTAACCGAAAACCCTACGATGATGATATTTCGCCAGGATCAACAAGGATCAAATATGTTCAAAATCTTAAAACAACTTCTGAATAACCAAAAGTCGCAGGATGATAATATTTGGCCTGTAACATGATGGAATGAAGGTTTTTAAGTTTGTTCAAGTGAATGACCTTGATTATATTCAAGGTCACAGGGGTCAAATTTGTTTAAAATCTCTAAATGACCTCTTCTGAATAACCATGAGGCCCAGAATGTTGATATTTAGACAGTAGCATGCTTCGGTGAAGGGCTATCAAGCGTTTTCATTTGAATGGCATTAACCCACTTTCGAGGTCACATTTACTGAAATATGTTTAAACATTTAAATGACCTATTTTCAATAGCAAAAGGATAGGTAGATGATGTTGTGCGAGTTGCATCCTGAGATAAAGGGCTATACGATTTGTTTAACATAATGACCTTGTTCGACTTTCAAGGTCACAGGAGTGAAATGTTTTTAAATCTTTCAACACGTTCTTTTGAATTACTTTTAATCATAAATACTGATATTTTGCCTTTAGCTCTATTTAAGATCACTTTTAAGAATCCAAATGTGAGGTCTCTTGTTCTAGAGAGGCTCCGGAATAGGGATATATGACCTGGGAAACCCGAGCGCGTGAGTGGAACACATTGGTTTTTCCCCTCCGTGTGATCAATTGACATATTCCAATCAGACACGTAGTAACATACATTGTAGATGAGGTATAATAGTATCACCTACCCCGGTAGACGGAGATGTGTCACATTGCCACCTAAAACTACCATAGTTAAGGGCCGAAAGTGGAAACACGGTAATTATTTTGTTATGTCTATCTCAAGTTTGTTAATATGGATTTGCTTGAACGGTTTTTTCTCCGAAATTAAGTTATTTTCCTTTTTTTCAGATATGACGGTTTCAACGTCAGTCCAGAAGTGGTGGGATAAACCTCCTTTGAGATGGATTCTGACGTGGCTCCGTATGTTTCGCCTGTTAATCATGATGATCATAATATCCACTTTTATAGTACTCTTTAAAATTCCAATTGTTGGAAAAATATTGCTGAAATTTTCCAGAAAACTTGCTCCGCAGGGATGTGGAAATTTAAACGTGCGCGCAACTGTCTCCGCGCTCCGTGAAAGTTTCTGGCCACTGGTGTATGACGCGTGGTCTGGTGAGGCTCCGCTCGGGAGGAAGGTTCCGGACACAGATTTGTACGACACCTCATCCAAGTCTATCGTCAAGCTGCTCAGCTTTCAGAAGTCAGGGCGACCCCTAGTGTTGAACTTTGGAAGCTGTACCTCACCCCCGTTCATGGCAAAGCTTGCGGAGTTCAAAGAGATCGCCCGAGATTTTGCCGACGTAGCTGACTTTATAACCATTTACATCGTAGAGGCGCACGCTTCCGATGGATTGAGTATTGAAGACTTTTCCGACATCGACCACCACAAAACGCTAGCTGACCGCGTGGAGGCGTCCGACCGACTCCGGTCAGACGACATGCCATGTCCAGTTCTAGTAGACCCTATGGATGACCAAAACAGCAAGATATTTGTCACAGTTCCCGAGCGGCTATACATTGTCTACCGATCCACCATTGTGTACCGTGGAAGCTACGGGCCATTTAATTACAAACCCAAGGACGTGAAAAATTGGCTACAAAAGTTCAAGAATGAAATGTAAACACATGACTAATGTTAATAACAAATTTGGTCTACAGGACCGCATCCTTAAAAGCCCAAGGGCTACATTATCTGCACCCCTGGAATTAATATATCATTACAAAATCGAATGTAATGTGCAGGCTACATTGCTGATTTGATATACATCAAAAGAATCGCGTGACAGCGTAACGATAGCGTTGACCAAATCTGAAGTCATTTTGTCTGAACAAATTCCAGTGGTGCAGAGGACGTACGCTAACATAGCCTCTGGAATTTCGAGGATGACGGGATTGCAACTTTACCCCATGTTACAATGCCACAATGGTGCTTGAACATTTTTTTTTCGTAGTATAACAATCCGAAAGAATAAAATTTCACTGACAATCAAATAAGTTTATTGTGACGTCACTCGTACACGTAAGCATGCCTGTGCTTATTCAGAGTACTGACCTACGGGCGGTAAAATAACAGGTACATAATTTCATGAATGCCAGTTCATAAATGGTACATATACGGGAATTTTCATTATGATATGAAACTAAAACGAACTTTTGGCAGCTAAGCAGAAATTACAATCGTCCAACATCTGACCAGTACAGCATCAATGTTCACAACTAGTTCTATAGAATGACTTGAACGGAGAGGAAAAAAAACAACACTTCGGACAATGATGATTATAGTAACAAGGATGTGAATGGATTACTGCTCATATCACGTGACCCGCTCATAGCACGTACCATCACGTGACCAGCTCATGTCATGTACCAACACGTGACCGGCTTATTCAGGAATTAGATAAAGAAATTTTAATAAGATTTTCTATCGTGATTGCAACATACAAAGTGTATATAACACTAGTTAGTCTTAAACTTATCAATATTGGGCTGCAGCATTTGATCCGGGTAATTTGTATAGTCGAGTTTTTCAAGTTGAATTATTGGTGCTTCTACTTACATAGTCTTCAAAATAAACGAAGTTATACCTTTTTCGAATGTCTATATTATTTTTAAGATACATTTACACTTGTAATGACTGTCCTATACTGGACAGTAGCCCTACCTGTCTGCCTATCTAGACACAATAAATAACACAACTATAAAATGGGATGAGCCTGCTCACTGGAGCGGCGTTTATTCATTCATCTTCACATGCAATGCCAACAGTCAATGTGTTCTCACGTCCAGGGCTAAACTCCAGAGATAAAACTTATAAGGCAAAAAATTCAAGACAAAAAACATTCTTATTCTCTAAAACTGCTGTCGTCACATCTGATCTTAAAAAAAAAAATTAAAAAAAAAAATGTTGAAATAAAAATTGACCGTATGCTGTGAGCTCTGAGGCTAGAATGACCACTCAATACACCTGTTCACTACTCCCTAGTACTTAGCCCGAATATATCGTACACCCGACAAACAACTCATGAATATTCATGAGTACCTGTACACGTGTCTGATCGAACCTGGACAGACAAATGTTTCCTGCTACACTACGAAACGCAGGAAAATTACAGCCCTTTCAGTCCGAACTTTTGACTTGTTGAATTTTGTTTATGTTTTTCCTCTCTATTACGTTGTAGTAGATATATCTATGTGATTTGGGACTATTTACGTACAGAGCAAAAATATTCATGAATTAAGTAACTTTAGAGAAGAATGTCTATTGCTATATATTTACATATGAAATATAGAAACATAAACATTTTATTTTATTTTACAAAAATCAATGGACATTTTTATTATTTATAAACGTAAATGGCCAGGATGGAAGCGCGTATGAGGTCTTAGTGTCGGAGGAAACCGGAGTACCCGAAGAAAACCAACGACATCGGACATACGACCCCGTATCTTTTCAGGTCTAATCAAGGAACCGAACCCCAGCCGTCATAGTGAAAAGCGAGTGCGTTTATCCACTGTGCCAACCGACCAGTAAATGCCTCATAAAAACATTTCAAATAAAAGTAATTGAGACGTAATTTACAATTTAAATAATTTTAGTGTTACACTATAAATAGTAACAATTGACAGGTACATTAGCACCATAACCACCTTCGCTAGCCAAAGGTTACCATCCGATACGATGTACCTACTCTTCGATGAGTAAACCGGATTGTAACCCCTGTTTCACCTTAAAAATGAAATAAATAGAAAATGTAATGGTTTCCCATTAAATAGATAGGTTACATAGACGAAGCAAGATTTTTTAGGATTATTTAAATCTTGTTTCCCGGCCTCGAATCTACCGTAGCTTTTGTTTGGTTTCGAAAACTAATTTTATGGTTTTCTTTCTTGCAAAACTGGTTTTGAACCATTCAGCCTCTCTGACTTCTATTTTGATCTATTCCCAATCTATAACATGCCCGGTATTCTTGGCATGTGCCAAGATAGCAGAATTCCCTTTACTTGTCGTTTTTGTGTTTGTTGAGTCGAACTCTGAGGGCACGCTCCTACTCTTGGATGTAGAATGCTGAACTCTACGTGCAGGTTATCTAGTAAATCACACTTGTTGTCTTTTCATATAGGGTTTGGTCGAGGAGGTTCCAGACTAGATCTGCGAAGGTTCTGTGGATTAAAACGTGAATCTTCCCCACGGTGGTTGTAAATCCTCATTGGAAGACCTTCCGAGACTCCCTGTTCGTTTAGAATGGTCACATGGGTCTTGGCAGGTGGTCTATCTTTGAGAGAGCAGTGGTAGGTTGGACAGTGTTGGAATTTCATTTCAACAAATTTTATTTCAATTAGAAAAAGCATTGAACAACAGGCATAGCCTATATTAGTTCTCTTCTGTTGGAATGTTTCACTGACTGAAATGTTCATTAAAAATATACAACATTTGATATAGCGCCCTATCTAGCTAGCATAAGCCACTCTAAAGCGTTTTACAGTACATAGATATACAATTAATACAATAATTAATCAATATATTTTTTGAGGAATTCGCAGGAGCTCCCTTATCAGGCGGTAACTACAAGTCATATGCCACATGGCTAATATCTCCCTTTGTGTGTATGCCTGCGTGTGGTCTGTTTGTAGTGGGACCGTGCTTCCAACGGCATCATTTATATTGCCACCTCATTTGAATGCTACAGCACAGATACCGCAACATCCACCCCAGACCATCTTATACTCCACCTGTGTTGTTGGAGTTGTGTGGGCAGGAGAAAATCACTTTCTCTGAATATCCATGCGTACCACGACTTCGGGGATCGAAACCCGGCCGCCTGCGTGGAAGGCCGGAGTGTTAACAACTCGACCAATCCGCCCTTCTCAGAGATTGCTGCATTCGCTGACTTTCTGTTTCCTCCGTTATGATGGTAACCGCTGTAGGGTTCTTATGATACGAGTTGGGTTTGATGTACTGGTCAGTATGCGTTGTTGGTTTCCAATATATAGATGTAGAGATATGACAAACCTCCTTCCTACTGACCAGAGTGCCCATCATTACTAGTTTGCTGTCTTTTCCCCTCTCAATACTTAGCCTAATCTGTGGGTGGATGTGTTGATCAATTCTGTGAAATGGTGTTTAATACTCTCAGTTGTATCATAAAGGTGTCATCGACGGATCTGAACCATGAAGATAGTGGTGGAATGAGATAATGGTCGTGTCCTGTTCTTTAAAGCTGCCCATGAATTTTTTGGCAATATTCGGCCACACTGTTGATTACATTTTCTTTTGGTAAAGCGATACCTGGAATGCAGTGGCCAAAACTACCTTCAGTGGATCAACTGTGTGTTATGGTGTAACGATGGTTCTAACAATAGCTAAGACATGGTCTTCCAAAAATGTGTTGTGCACAATACCCATTGTTTCAAACACAACTGTACAGGTTAACAGGGCTGTCATATCATACTAGACTAATAGAATATCTCACCACCACCCCAACATCACCCCGAGGGGTGCAAATTTCTCTGTTACACCCTCAAGGTAGGAGATAATTATTTTTTTCTCCCACCCTGTTATTTCAGTCACAAATCGACCGACAGTAGTCTGTTTGTAAACATAAACACATGTGGGGAATGAATATCGTCATTCACTTTTGATGACGTCACAATTGAACACGTGCTAATCGGCACGAGGCTATCTCCGACTAAGCTGATCTTTCCAGGCTAAAACGGGGGACACACCGGTGAAGGGTGGGAGACATCCTTTTCTCGCATACTAGCTAGACCGAGATATCCGCAGTGCTGGAAAAGGATATCTCACACCGGGAAAAGTGTGCATTTCCTCCGTGTCAACGAGTGCAATGTATTGGAGAATCGGTAGCAATAAATAGCTGAATGTATCAAGATTTCTTTCAACACCGTTTTTTTTTTAATTTGCGCACAGCTATTTAGTCGACTCCATCAATCTGGTGCCCCCAACATCGGTTCCTGAAAGCTATGTTGGATCTGTTGCGCTCTACAACAAAACCATGGATGTAAATGTAACCCTGATCGTGTTTTCTAGTATGGGAACTCAAGCCCACATCGTTTCTGTGTATATGTATGTCCATGGAAACTCCAATAAGAACAAATGCAGTGACAATGATCGGGGTAGGATCTTTAAGAAATTCTGCCAGGAAAGCATTCTGATATTCATCCAACAAGAGCTCCAAACTTCTATCATGCGGAATCAAAGCGAAATTCTACTATATCCTGTACAATGCAATAAGGATACCATACAACGTATTCGGCCATATACCGGTCTAACCGAGTTTCACACGGCCTCAAACACATTGTATTATACGCTTAATGACTGTACATCTGTTTGGGTACGATTATGTGTGTATATGTGCGTGCATGCGTGCGCGCGGATGTGTGTTTGTGCAAACATATATGTGTTTGTATGCAAGCATAATCATTCCTTTGCTTCTCCCGATATCTTTCTTCCTCTCGTTTTCCTCATTCAATCTTCATGATATACATGTATAATTAGCCATCTTATGATGTTATATATATCCTTAACTAAATTGTAAGGAAAGGACGCTTATAATGTTTCGAAACTTATGCCCACTCTATTTGCTTTCATATTGCAATAAAATATGTTTAAACTAAAAAAACAACATTTGCATGGCATTGTCGCTATTCCGTCTTTGCGTATTGCAGAGTTATCCTCTCTTGTGAGCAGGTATCGATTGTTACGTCGTTGGTTTGTGTGAGAAAATTACGTCGTTTTCTCAAAAATCGATGACGTTACTCTCACAAACAACTGACGTAACAATCAATATCGCAAATTATTTTGGTCATATGTCTTACAATTTATATATATACCGAGCATTTAATACTTCTGACATTCAAAATGTTTAAAATGCTAATTTTATATATGAGTTGACTGCATTTTCATACATTCGAGCACATGTCTACCTTGTTATAACTCTTTTGGTCACACAGAGCATTAAGTGTCAGTATCTTGTTTGACCATCATCTAAACACACAGGCTGTTTAAGCAGTTCCAGTAGTATAGACGTATCAACACGTAATTTCATAAGCGGCCTCAAAGAGTTATGTCAAAGGTCATGGGGGGAAAAACCGCTTATACGCTTGCAAAAACTTGCATGGCGGCCAATTAGGAGTCCTTGGATGCAGTCACGATTTCTTATATTTAAACGATATATCCACACTGAAAAATCATAGGAACATCGAGTACGAAATCAGGTACATCTATTATTTCGGAAAATCTTTAATGTTTGGCACTTACATACTTAAAAAAACAGCGATCTGGCAATTTGTTGGAGGGTCGCAGAGAGATGGGTGTGTCAGCTCTCCCCAGTAAATGGTGGATCGGGCTATTTATCGGACATGGCCTATTATCGGGCAAGCCAATCAAATTTATTATTTTTCCTTTGTTCGATACATCATCCTAAAAACTGTTCTGGTATACTTAGCTTTGACCTTTTCCCGCCGATATAGGAAAACTTTCAAAGCATTCCTCGCCATCAGGTAAATTATCGTCAAAAGCGACGATGTTGTCGTTATATTTCCACTTTCCGTTTGGCAAATATTAATATGTA